AGGTGTGAAGGTGGAGACTGAGTTGAGAAAACCATCAGAGAAAGAACCGTGTGGGATTTGCTTATGACTGCATGGGAGTGTGCTGCTGTTTTGTTGACACTGGCTCATGTTTACCCAGCAGTGGACAGTAGCCAACAGAGGATTTTAGCTCCAACATATATGTATGTGGAAAATCTTTCATATCGCCGATGGTGTTCTCTCCCCCCAAAGAGTCTCTGTATGTGTGTGCCCAGGGACAAGTGCTATTTATATCACAGTGTATTAGTGTCCGCATAGATATATGTACACGTGCCACCTTTATGTTTATGTAGCTTGTGTGTTTATTTACTGCTGCATATATAAGCAATGAAAATTGTTTATTCTGGCACTCAAGTAGATGACATTAACAGTAAATATGCATGAGAGAGAGATCATTCCCTCTTCCTCCTCTATTCAAAAAATAATCTCATTAACAGGTAACATATGAACATGGCTTAAAAAATAATCACTAACTTATACGGATAAAGTGAAAAATGAGTCTCCCATTCTCTACCCCAGAAATGATTATTACCAGTTCTTATGTATTCTCCAAGAGATATTTTTATATATCAGAAAAAAGTATATACACACAGCTCCTTTTTTAAAAAATGTGTTCTTTAAACTAATGAAAGGGAGGCTTAGAACAGGAAGACCTCTGTCTTCCCACATAGCTTCATCCTCCACCCTTCATGTGTGAGCAGACTCCAGCACACATGTGTGTCTATGATTTACACATGTGTAGGTTTAGTGCTGGAGGACAAATTCTTTGTTATAAGAAAACTTCTGGAACCTAGAAAACTGATTTTCTTGCCAGTTCATCTGGTTATTAATCTTCTTAAAAGCTCAAGACAAATAAAATTCCCATATCTGAGGCCTTCGTGGTATCCCAGAGGCAGGTGAAAATCATTCCCATGGAGTTGTCTTCACTTTCTGGTTTGTCATCAATTCTTAAGAGCAATCCAGCAAGGTTTATTTAGTACAGCTCTCTGTTGATTTTATAACCAACTGCTGACTGCTTAGGACATAAAACTCTTGGTGATTTATAAGTAGTAAGTGGGCAAGAAATCCATAAATCACATTCTGTAATAAGAGAATGTAGGTGAACACACACACACACACACATATCCACCCTAAAGGAAATGTTAAAGGGATGTTAAAAATTTATATATTTGTTTTTAATATGAGAACTGAGAACTCCTTGGTAAATGGTGGCCAGTCAGCAACTTCTGAGAATTAAATTGTACATGGCAATATGTTAATGGAGAGCAAGTGGCTTTGCCTTTTACTTCTTAAAGAGGAAACTCTGGTCTCCCACTTTTGAAATGTTTGAAGGGCTTTTATGGTCTCTGAAGAAAAAGAATTTTTTTCTAAAAGGTTTTACTGACCAAGTCACAAATGCTGAAGTTGTCAGAGTTTTCTGATACTTATGAAAATATTCTGCAACAGGTATTTTCAACTAAACCCTTACTCAAAGATCTTTTTCTTTTCATGTATGTATTTTTTTCTAGGCCTCTAAGTTTAAAAAACATCTCCAATAATATGCTGAGCATAAAAAAAATGTTTCTCATTCCAAGGGAGTCATAGAGTGTCAGGGAACCAACAGACATGTAAAGTGTAAAAACACTTTTGTTTGGAAAGTGAAATTTAATAAATATGAATCAGCTGCCATGAATAGCATGCCAAGTGTCTAGCTCCCAAAATATGGTATAATCTGGCTAGAAATTTAAGATGTGTTTAATAAAAAACTGATCTCATTTATATCCTGATTCAGAGATAGAAATAAAATAGAGAATACTGGGAGAAGTTGAACACTAAGTAGCTATTTGCTAGGAAATTATTGTACATTTTGTATGTCTCAGTAGTAGTGGGATTTTTTTTTTTTTTTAGTTTTTATCTTTTGGAGACACATAATGAAATGTTTTAGGATAAAGTGATTTGCTTTTTAAAAAAATCCAATAGGTGGGCCTCCCCGGTGGCGCAGTGGTTGAGCTCTGGGTTGCAAAGCTGCCTGCAGCCTCTGCAGCACCAGTTCGATCCCTAGCTGCTCCCCGGCCACCGGGTGAGGGTCCCACATGGCGCGCAGACCTCTCCTGCAGCCCACTGCTCCCTTCAGTAGTGTACTTCATCAGTCTGCCTGTTCTGTTCTCCGCTCTGACTCTGGTGAATTCTCTCACCCTCCCGCGCTTCAGACTGTACCCAGTGCTTGTATAAATAAATAAATAAATCTTTTTAAAAAAATCCAATAGGGTGCCTATGGGTAGGGGTATAAGTGAAACAAGACTGGCCATGAGTTAAGTGGAGTCATAGCTACTTAGGATTTCATATACTCTCTTGTTTGTGTTTAAAATTTTTCATAATGTAAGAAACAACAGAACAGTTTTATAGTGGTCATTATCTATTTGAAAAGTTCTTCATTTTTTCTTTTGATATTTGTTTTTCAGCAGGAGCTGAGTGCCAGTTGTGTAGAGGGCTCTGAACAGGAGTTTGGTGCACGCTGAGTGGTGTGAGTTTAGAGCTCAGCAGACAGCAAACTCCCTGGCTGTGCTGGCAGAAACACTGCTGAGAACCTAGCCATCCCATCCCCTGGAACCTGTGCCCCAACCTCTCTCCTCTTGGTGAGTAAGAAGGTGTCTGCCCCAGTTACTGTGAGGAGCTTCTGTTTTGGGGAGAAACACCACCCAACCAGGAGTATGGGACCTCAGCACAATCCCACTCCACACATCTAACAATAAACAAGGCCAGTTAGGAGCTCTGGAAGTCAGAACTGAAAACAGATACCCACAGCCACTCTTCACAAACAAGGGGCTTTATTTTTATACTACTGCCAAAAAAAATTTTTTTAAGTGGGGAGAGCTTTTAAAAGGTTGGCTTTGTAGGAGGGAGCCACTTAACCATGTGAAACTTAGACCTATTCTGGACTCAAGGAGTAAAAGGGGAGGCGCCTGCCACCTCTGGGGAGTGTGCAACCTGGGAAGGCCCCTCCCAGGACTGCAGGAGGCAGCAAGTGCCCACCCAGCTGCCTAAGAGGCGGGCCCTTTGTTGGCCCAAGGGGAAAAAGAAGAAAAGCTTTGAGAACGGTCCCTCCCCTCAGTGTCGAGGCCTCTGCTCTCACTTCCCAGGCCTGGGGGAACCCTTCTCTGCACCACCATGATCATCAGCTGCCATCAGCCTCGCCAGCTAAACTGGCTCACGGGAAATGTTTCCAGATAACTAAATTCTAAAGAAACCTGTCTGCTTTGATAAAAAGAACTTTCAGCTTGCGTTTCAACTCTATGTGTATTGCCAGAGTGTGCCATCCAGCAGCCCCATAAAGGCTGAGGAAGTAGAGAGGGGTATCTCCTGCTGTTCTGGTCACTGAGATCCAAACTTCATTCAAAGTCGTATTACACCCTATATGCCTCTGGGTCTTGCCTAACTGTAACTGTTCAGAATCAGATCACACCTTCTGCATAAAAACATTTCAGTGGCTTTCCACTTGTTCTGCAGACACAGACTAAAATGTTTGGCAAGGTTGACAAGTCTCCTTAGTTTCTGGCTGACACTGAACCTTTGAGCAATTCCCAAAGCCAAGGCTACTTTCAAGACTATGATCTCAAGGTGAATAGCATAGCTGAAGCCAGACAGCCTCCAGTTCACAATGGCCAGATCACAATCCTCCTGATAAGATACTGAGAGAATGAATGATGAAAGGCAGATATCTGGATGACAAAGCAGAAACTGCAGGAATATGTCCTTGCTAGTCAAAGAAGCCAAGCAAAGCCTGTTGTCTGAGTCCAGGGATCACTCAGTGGACTTACAGCTTGTTGGCCCTACAGCTCCCTAATAAAGATGGAAGGAGGGCATTGCAGGGCTGTCTTGAACCAAGACAGCTGGTGGTGTAATTTCTCGGGTGCTAGAATGTAGCTCTGTTTGAGGTAGACTGTGAAGGTTTACACAGCCTGCAAGGTAGCCACGGTACTGCCTCCCACTCGGGATTTGCCTGCTTCTCTCTCCTCATCTTAGTCTAGGCATTGGCTGCTGTTCCTTTAGCTCCCAAGGTGTCGTCAGAGATCAGGAGACACCAGTGGCATGGCTGGCCGTGCTCCCTGGGGTGATGCAAGCAAAGGCCCTGAATTCACTTCTCCAAACAAACCTTCATGACCCTCCCGACTAGTCCAAATCCCCCTCACAGCTCCGGACTCCCTGGGTATCAGAGAATAATTGGTTAGTATCTGTCTCCCACCCCTTACCCCAGACTGGAGACAGAACTATGTCTTCTCTTCTACTGGTGTGTTTTTTCACTATTATGTCCCCACTTGATGGCCCAGGTCATTATACAGAGTAGATGCTCAATAAATCAATATTGAATGAATAAACATACCCCATTTTCCCACCCCCTGACCTTGAGCTCCTAAAGCTCACTGACTTCAGTAGCCTAAATTGCTTCTGTGTTACACCTTTTCTCTGTCCTGGAACAAGGCAGTTGGTGCTGAATGACTGATGTCTGGGGCTAAAAACTCCCCAAGGCCACTTCCCTCCACATGGGACTCCCAGCCTCATGGACACAGCTGCTGCCCAGCTCTTGACGTAGATGTCCACATACAGATGTCCTTTCCTAACTTCTTGTCCCCTTTGAGCTACTCTTGAAGCTCACTAGCACCATAATCTAGCAATGTTAAGATAGGGGGTGGGTGAAGATAAAGAAGGAAAAAGCGAGGGAGTCTGGTCTGCAGGACTCCCAGTGTGATTTGTGTCAGGCATGCCAGTGGTGATGGTCAGCCATGTCCCTGTCCCGAGACTTCCTCCCGAGAACCAGTGTCTCTGGGCAAGGAGTCCAGTATTTCATCCTTATGTCGAGTGTAAAGCTAAATTCTGTAAACTGAATCATACCTTTTCAGCACCTTCTTTCATCAACATGAAAATGAATTCTCATATTAAAAAAAAAAGGTTTTGCCCCAAAATAGAATACAAATCCCAGCAATAATATACCAAGCTTGTTTTAATCATATCCTTGGAAAACTATGTACTTTATGTACTTCTGATAAAAATTAGTTAAAAAAAAATCATTCCATATACAAACATGATACCAAATCTTGACAAGATTGCTAAATCCTCTTCCTTTGGGATGAGCCACCCTTACCTGAGTGGCCTCACCTTTGCAGACTATGGAAAATATTTTCATTTAAAATCTGATGGCTTGAACTGTCTCTTCTAAAGTCTGTGAGTCTGTTCTGGTTGTTTATTACACAGTCCAGCTTCAGCGAGATTAAAGGCACCAAAGTTTTGTTTATAAAGAAAGTAAGTTTGTCTTAAACAGAAGGAGTGTTTCCATGAGTGATAATTTTCCAAGTGTTGACATGGCAGCTCTATTTCGTGTAAATCACAGAACTCATCCACGGATGGTTAGGGAGATGCCTGTGTTGCTGGCCTTGGACACATCCAGCTTCACCCTCGCCAAAGAGAACATCAGCAGCCAAGAGTCACTGTGATCCAGTGATAACATAAGGATTTATTGATCTCATTGTCTATTATTTACTTTGCTTGGTTTAGCCAGCTATCTAATATTATTCTAAAAGGAAACATTCTTTATTTTGTTTTATTCCATTTTATTTATTTGTTTATTAATTTACTGACTGACTGCAGCCTTCAGGATACCTAGAATCCTCAAGGAACACCAGACTGCAATCCCTTTGTTTGGAATATGCAAATCCCCTTTGGAATCTGAGGACAGGGAAACCTCCAGTGTTCTCTTCCCTGCTTCCTTCTACCCCACTCTCACCACAAGGGAGACTCCCAAAGTCACAGCCATGGAGATTTTCCCTTGACTGCTAGAGCTAGAATTGAGACCCCAGCACCTTCTAGTAGAGAAGGGTTGGGCAGTGAGGAAACAGGTGAAATTCTCTCTCCCAAAACTTGTGCAGGGGATTTCCAGCTGTGCTGAAAAGGAATTTGCCCATCTCGGCCTAATTTTTACCAATCTGGGACATTTTACCTCCCACCTTCCTGCCCTTGAGTGGCATGTCAGGTCGCCTGGGCTGTCCTGGCCTGGAAGCCTTCACTCAGCATCAGCAAGGACTGAGATGAGGCCCCGGGCATCAGTCTCTAGCGAGGGTGGGAGTCTATTTCCTCATAGGGAGGAGGAGAGAAGCAGGCAGAGTCCTCTTCCAGCTGTGTCTCCACTAGTTGCTCGGCATGAGGACTCGCTCTGAAACGTGAGCAGAAAACAAGCTGCACTCCAGCCCACAGCGCCACTCCAGCCACCGCCCGGGCCAAGGGCCCACGGGGATGTGATTCTCCCACCACCGGCCCTGGCGCCTAAGCACAACCGTGGCCCAGGACTGTGACAGCTGGAAGGGGGGTGTCCCCCACGCCACACACCATACCTGATACTTCCACCAGCCATGAGGGAAGAGTAGTCCTGGTCGCCGACAAAGGCCGCGTTCTCTGGGGGGTAGATGGTGTAGTACTGAGGCGGGTTGGGAGTGGCGGCAGCGGCCCCTCCAGGCGGTGTGAGACCACAAGGGCTCACCATGGGCTGCAAGAAGGCGGTGTTCATCCCAGTGGGCTCCTGGGAGCCATAAGGGGGAGGGATGTACTGCACGACAGTGGCCCCGTGGAAGGTGATGGGTTGGTTGATACCAGTGAAAACAAATGACTGTCCCCCCGCCATCTGCTCCGCATCCAGGACCCTTTCCTCGCTCTCTTTGCACCACTGGCAGGAGAGCATCTTGAACTTGCACACAGCTATCAGGATGAATGTCACCCCGACTGACAGCAGGATGGGCCCCAGGAGCTGGGTCCATTCAAAGTGGGAGACACCTTGGTATTTGATCCAGCCCATGATGGTGAACGTGATCCCTACCAGTCCCAGGAAGATGCCTGAGAAGAGCAAAGTGGCCCCTGCCTTGTCATCATCCGACACCTGGATGTCAGCGGTGCTGGGTGTGTACGGGGTGACGGAAAACACGTTGAGCGGGAAGTCGTCCAGGCGGTTGCTGCCCTGCTCCATGGCTCCTCTGCTGCTCTGAGGGGAAGGGGCTGTGGGAGCTGCAAAGAGCAGAGGAAAAGAATCACAGGTTCAGATTAGTTATGGAAGAACTTTGGGCTTCTGTGGTTAACAGAGTGTAACACACAGAGGCCTGAACTTTGCTTCGAAGGATAAAGGTCTAAGAAATGAAGCCTGAAGCTTTCTCATGTACTGTCAACAATGGGGTGGCTTTGGTCTGCAATTCTGTGGCATCCTCCGTAGTTCATATCCGCTCATTCAAAAAGCATTTCTTGAGCCTGGTTTCTGCTAGGAGGTGCTTTTTAGACACTTAACGTACTGTGCCCCAAGGCCCCTTTTGCATCTCACCAGATCATAGAAATGGCAGAGCCCCCTGACAGGTCCAGCGCGCAGGAACCTAACCCAGAGTTTCTACTGGGTCCATTCATTAGAAATGGACAGACGCCAATTTCACACTATTTGTGTTTTCCTTTTTCCAGGGTCTCTAGTTGTGATGATACTTAAACTTTAATAACAGCTCTCATAAAGAGACGTCCTACTTCTCTCTGGACAGCCAGATGTATCTTTTGTTTTCAGCATTTGGGAGTAATTCTAGCTGTGGGAGGGGAAAGACGCCATAGGAAACTTTTCTGTGCACTGAGTTACTGAACAGAACATCAGATTTGACCTGGCATCTCAGGGATTTGCCCTTCAGACTCTCTCTATGGTGGCAGCATAGTCCCTGGTATTTTTGAGCCTCGTGAGTTTTACAACCAAATATAAACTGATTTAGAGAAGAAAACTTGATCTTCAATGACATTGTCTGTCCTTCATGACTATACAACGTCAAAACAGCCCCACGAATTTCCTCCACTGGGCAGTAACTCTAACCCTTGCCTTTCCTAGACAGATCATATCCAAACAGATGTCTCTCTTCAGGGGCTAAATATTACATCAGCTCCCTTTTGCAGAATTGAACAAAGACTTGGAGAAAGAACATCCCTTTTCCCCCAAGGAGGGCTTATCAAATTCTCCTGATGATAAATATTACCCCAACCGCTCTTACAAAGACAAAATTCAAGTCCCTAATTCAAGCCAATAGGACCAAAGTGCTGAAGGAGAGCCCATGCCAAGAGGCACTGAAAGTCAAGGATTTTGGACACCCTACTCCTAGTTAATCCCAAGTGCTCCATGAGACCAGGGGATTTTTTTCCTTCCCATCAAAATGTCTGTCTCTACTTAGGACAAGCCTGGTAGAAGAAGGGTTGATATTCTCCAACTTCACTGCCAAGCACAAGGGAAAGCAAGCAGGTGCCCTTTCAGGTATCTTCCCAGCTGTGTCCCTGAGCACCAAGGATGGTGTGGTTTTGCAATAGAAGCAATGTGCGCTTTTCCCACTGAGCTAGGTCAGGGAGCCTGGGGAGGCAACTTTTCCCTTTCGTCATAAAAATTCTGGTCGGCTAGTCTGATACTCTCTTCAGACTCTTAACTCCCAAGTTAACAATTGAAACAGTCCTTAGCTTTTAGAAAAGATTAGGTTCTCAAATCATTCTTCCAAATCATTCCATTTATTTTTCTCATTTGTCTTCAGCTGCGTGCACTTGCAATTCAGAGAATAACTGGCAACACTGAAGAGCAGGACAGAGAGATCACCTTCCTAGAAGCATCCTGTGAATACAAAACTGGAATGACTCTCAGAACAGACAGATTAGGAAGTTCTCCAGTTATGCTTTCCAAGTCACCTTGACTCAGATTCTCCATTCAAAAGCTTCAACTCTGTCTATATGGCAAATAGCAATTTTTTTAAAAAAAAAATATCAAACCAAATTCAACAGTGTATCAACAGTATTACGTGCCCTGACCAAGTGAGATTGATTTCCCCTTGGAATGTAAGGACAGTTCAGCCTATGAAAATCAACTAGCGTAATACACCACATTCATGTGTATGAAGGAAGATCAAGATGAAAAGAAAACCCATGTCCTTGTCTAAATGCCAGGGGCAAAAATATGTTGAGATTTTTTTAACACTTACTATGAACCATGCACAATTCTAGATATTTAATGTACCTGGTATTTTATTTCATTTCATCCTTTTAACAGCCAGATTACAGTAAAAAAAAAAAAAAATCTATGCTGCTCATGAAGAGTTTGTGAATATGCTCCAAATCCATTGTTGACAGTTTGCTTTGGCTGAGACCACAAAGCACATTTTTCCTCTACCAGGTGGGTGTGTATTAGGCTGTGCAAATGGGGGGCACTAAAGGGAGATTGCTAGGTGGGAAGTGGAGAAAGCAATGACTACTTCCTGCTAGGTTTATTGTCACTCCAGTAGCAAGCAGTTCATCCTGGCAATAACAGTTCCAATTCCCAGTTCTAGCCATAATGGGTCAGATTTCAGCATATTCTAGGTGCTGACTATGAGGTTCTGCCTCAGGAGAAAATAGCTTACTTTCCAAAAGGAATATAATATTTTCAAAATTTGTATCAGTAGAAACCTAGAAAATATGTATACATATTAATCCTAAGGCTGTTAGACAAAGGAAAATAGAATAGAGATGAGTGCATACAGATATTCTGGATTCAATATGTTAATTTTATTATTTTTTTATTTTTTTGCAATTTTTTATTTGTATCTTTTACATCATTGTGTATTCCCCATAAAATTCTCCCTACCAGTTTACCCATGAACCATCACCATAGTCCGTTGTGCCCTTCTCTCCCCTGTTTTGATCCCTTTTCTTCCTATTAGTTTTGTTGTTGTTATTATTATTATTGTTGTTATTTTTTTCCCTGATCCCTTATTTGGTTCCCCTATTTTCCTCCTATCAGTGAAATCATTTGATATTTTTCTTTTTCTTTGTGGCTTTATTTCACTGAGCATGATCCCTTCAGGTTCTGTCCATGTTGTTGCAAATGGCATCAGTTTATCTTTTCTGATTGCGGTATGTTCATTTTAATACCTGGAAGTGGCTTTGATAGTGTAGTTGGTTGGTTGACTGAAACATGGACTCAGCAGAGGTCTATGTTCAATGAGGATGACATATCAGAACTTCTCTGATATAAAGTAGAGGAGCTCAAAAGCTTCAGGAGATGGAGATATTGGAGTGGATTCTTCATGACTGACTTGCATGTCTGTATCCCACCCTTTAGGCATTATGCAGAGAGCACCAGGATCCTTGAAGAGCTTCCTGATGACTGTCTTCTAAGGTCAGATATGATGTCAAAAGATGTCAATCAAGTGGGTTTCTGATTTTCATGAGATGCTATGCATTTCAGGCTAGTAGAGTTCAAGTGAAAGCACTTAGTAGACAGAGACAAGATGAGTGCATTTATCATAATGGACAACAGGAATGAAGGATAGTAATTAGAATATTTTGACCCGCAAAAACGTTGATTACAGCTAGTTAAACATCATGTTCCTTGGAATGAAATAGATGAATCGAAATGTTACTTGATCAGCATAACTGGAAAAAATCCAGATCTGTTGGCCAGAAATCTGACTTGTGTTATCACATGGAGAATCAAGGCTTTTGATCAAGTTTTCAGACCTAAGATCTTTAAAGACCTAAGCTATCTAAGTCATTTTCCCCCACAATAATAAAATCTATAATCTGGATAATAATCCAGGGTAAACATTTTTTTTAAACTTTGATAACGTCCTGTTTGTAAGAATATAGGAAAACAGTTATGTTAAGTCTGGCTGGTGAGAGTATGAGTTAGTACAGCCTTTTTCTTTGGTGCTGGGGACAGGGAGAAATTTGTCAATATCTACTAAATTTAAAATGCACAAACAATTGAAGGTGCAAGAAAGTACAAGCATCTTCTAGAAGCGTAATCTGTGTATAAACTTTAGACACCTGCACAAAATAGTACTTTACCCTAATAGACAATCACTGTAGTAGAGCGAATAAGTAAGCCAAAGCTTTGAAAGATGAGGGACTGACACTGTTAAAGAATAAGGCAGGTCTATAAGGACAGGTATGGGATAATTTCTAAGATGTACTGTTGATTGGGGGCAAAAAGCACAGCAAATTATTTTATTATGCTACCAATGGCAAGAAGGAAGAAGTCTCATTGTGATTGAATATATGTGCACAGAATATCACTGACATTCCACTAAAATATCAATTGGAAAAGAAAACTGGGAGACTATTCCAGTTATCTACTGCTGTATAACCAATCACTCCAAAACTTGATGGTATAAAACACAGTTCTGAGGTTTAACTGCAGGGCAGTTGGCTAGGGCTTTTGCTGGGCAGCTGGCTAGGGCTGCAGACATCTGTGAGCCCGGCTAAGTTGGATGTCCAAGATGCTTCACCCACAAGAATGAGAGTCAGTGTTGGCTCTGGGGGGAACACAGCTGGGGTTGTCCACCAGCCCACCCACCTGTGGTCTTCCATGTGATTTCTCTCAGCATGGTGACTGGGTTTCAGGAGGACTGTCCGAGGGCAAGTGTTCCAAAGGTCCCAGAAGTTGTAAGGCCTCTCGTGACCTACCTTGTAAGTCCCAGCATATTAATTCATTAAATCTGTTGTTCAAGCAAATCACTAAGCCACGCCAGGTAGAAGAGGAAGAGAATGGGCCTCCCGGATGGCGCAGCGGTTGAGCGCTGGGTTGCGAAGCAGCCCGCGGCCTCTGCGGTGCCGGTTCGATCCCCGGCTGCTCCCCGGCCACCGAGGAGGGTCCCACATGGTGCGCAGACCTCTCCTGCCACCCGCTGCTCCCCTCAGCAGTGTGCTTCGGTCCTTCTGCCTGCTCTGCTCCCCGCTCTGGCTCTGGTGAATTCTCTCACCCTCCCGCGCTTCTGACTGTACCCCGTGCTTGTATAAATAAATAAATAAATAAATAAATCTTAAAAAAAAAAAAAAAAGAAGAGGAAGAGAATTCAATTCCTCTTCTCTCTGGCATGAATGAGAAGGTCACAGTGCAGAAGAACATGTGGGATAGGACAGATAATTGCTGCTCTCTGGAAAATCGATCTCCCACAGAGGCATCTTGACTTTTCACTGTTCAGTCTGTGATTCAGCTTGATTTTTTGCTGCCCCCCTGAGGGTAACACTCTCTCACAGTCATCAA